AGGTGTCCTGCAGCGGTGCTTACCTGGGGGGGGCCCGGGACAAAGTGGGGATGAACCCAGTGCCACCGACCCGGCTGCTGCAGGATGGGAGGTCACTCCCTGCCTCTGGCTTTGACTTTCCCACCGTGCCTCAGTTTCCCCAGTTATGGAGCTCAGGGCTGAGTTCGATGTGCCCTACCTGGCCCGTTGCAAATGCAGTTCTTCCCTTTCAACCCTGTTTTATCCCGGACCCTAAACCACTCTGGTCTCTCCCGTCTAGAAGTGATGGAGTCAACCCCGCTGCTTGCCTGGCTCCCGCAGCAATTCCCCTCGAGGCCCTGAGAGCGGCCCTGACCCCGGGGCACCACGCTGACCCGCTGGGAACACGACTGGCTGCCCGAGCCCCCGAAACGAGAGGAACGACCTAAAAATAGCCCGGGCTGGAACTAGCTGGTGTTTGAATGGGAACTTTCTCCTCCCAGTGTGATGGCTGCTCCTCTGGGTCACGGGTCGGGGTCTGGGATGGAGACCCAAGGAAGGACAAGGGATGGGGATGGGTGACGAAGGGAAATGGCTTTTGCGGCTCCTTCCCAAAGGATGGGACGTCCAAGATGGAGCCATTGCCTTTGGTGCGGGATCTGGGGGCTGGAGCTGGCACAAGGCCACCCAGGAGCCCGGGCTCGGCCCCCGGGAGCCTGCGGGCTGCTGCCACCTTCTGCCGGTGTTGGGACAAGGGGTTTGGGGTTTTTTTCTTAAATTTATTTGCTTCTGTCTAGATTGCCATGGTGTTTGTTTACCTAATATTTTCCCTTGCTTGTAACCAGGCAAAAATGCCACAGGCCTCTGAGCTTGGCAGACTTTGCAGTGTGTGTGTGTGGGGGGAAACTGAGGCACAAGGCTAAAGGGAAGCAATAGGGCTCAGACACACAGACACACACACCCCCCCTCCGGCTGTGAGGGAGGGTAAAGGCACCCAGTGCTTGGGACACCCGGCCCAGGGGAGGCTTTAAGGGGGGGAGAGCTTTAAGGAAAAGCCTTTCCAATCGTGATGGTCTCCCAGTTGACGGCCCCAGGGCTCGTTGGCAGAGCGAAGGGTCGTGGCTGAGCGTTGGTGGTTGGTGTTCGCTGTCCCTGCGCTTGTCCCCTGGGGAAATGAGCCGGGGACAAATTTCCCCCGGGCATTTCAGATGGGGCTCAAACGTCCCCTGTGCTGTGGATGTCCTCGCACGTGCGATGGCAATGGTCCTGCCCGGCAAAGCGCTGTGGCTCGGGCGGACGGGCTGTGTGGGAATGGGTGCGTCCCCTCGCCGCAGGGCTGCCCTGGTTGCGGGGCTCCCAAGGCTGATGGCTTTTCTGCCAGGACACGCTGCTGGAGTCCAGCACACCCCGGTCAGTGGTGCTCCCCCCCCCTGCCCCGTATTGCCTGATGCCGAGCCGGGTGCTGCGGGGACGGGGCTGGGACCCACCTCCGCTATGAGGGCAGCTCATTGAAGCCAGGCAGAGCTTAGTGCTGCTCCCTGGGTGATTTAAACAATTCAGAGAGGGGGCGGGTGATGCCTGGGCCCACTGGCTGCTGAGCAGGTGACTGACTCCCCCCGAGTGCAGCTCAGCAGAGTAATTTAGTTCGTTCTTGGCTGTTTGTCCCCCAACACCATGTCTTTGGAGTTGCGGTTTGTGCCTGGCTGGGGCTCATCACACCAGCACCTTCTCTGAAGGAGCTGGGACCTCCGCAAGCCCCAGCTCCCCGGGACAGGGTTATTTAAAGCGCGTTTTGGCGTGACCCTAATCGGGTTGGACAAGGCGAGGAGCCCAGGGCTGCCCCGGCCGCGTGCGACAGCCCGCGCTGGCTTGGAGAAATGATGTGATGTTTGACTCTGCCTCGTTGTTGTAAGTAAATCAAGTTGCTGTGACATGTTATGGAAAAGCAGCTCCGGCGGTGGCCGTTTCCCCAACTACCCAAGGCCGATTTCTGTGGCTCCTTTGTAATTTTTGCTTTACAGTACATTGAGATTTAATACTTGGAGCGGCTTGAAAGCAAACTGGCCAAAGGCGGGGTGTCGGTACGATGCAATGACTTGTCTCTGGAGCAATTTGAATTAATGTTGCTTTTAGTGTGTGAATATAGCCATACACAAGAGCAGCAACGGGGTGGTGTAACCCTTCCCTTTCTGTCGGGGAAACGGAGGCACGGGGGGGGGGGGGGGTGGGACCGACGACCCCCCCCGCGCACC